TCAAAAAACATAAAAAGAAAGAAAGAAAGAAACTTGTGTTGGCTGGCTCTTTAATGGAAGATTTATGGAAGGACACAGACATGTATCATTCAGGAGAAGAGACAGAAGGACTGTAGCTCCTCTGGACAAGAGGAAGGAAGACTCACTCTGATAACAGCACAGATCCAGATTCAGAGTATGCTGGCTTTAGAGCTAGAAGGGGCTTTAATCTTTTTAGATCGTCATTGTTAGTATTTTACGGTTAAGGAAGCTGAAGCCCAGAGGGCTTCAGTGACCTGGCTAACATCAAACAGGTAGTGTCAGAGGTGGGACAATGGACTTAAAGAGATGCAAATACAATATCTAGATATATATTTAAGTGCCTTACTTGTAAGTCATAGCTTTATTTAGCCCAGCTTTTCTCTAGCTTTAGCTCAGAATCATACTACATATAGACCTGCTTTCTGAAAAGTCCCCTACCACCAAAGGCACACAATCCAGGTGCCCTGACTTCCAGTCAGGAGTCTTTCTATTATGCCTCCCTCACTTCATTCTGTACTTGCTTTATATGATTTGTAATGATAATCTTGTCGTTTTACATAAGTATGCTTCGTTTTTTACAAATGATCTTATAGGATTTTATCTTTCTGTCCTTTTTGGTAATTGGTACAATTTTCTGCAGAGACCTGGATTCATATCCCATCTCTGACATAACTACCAGTGTAACCATGTGTAAATCAGTCCATCTGCCTGAGCTCTAGTTTTCTCTTTTGTAAAATGAGGGTACTGGTCTAGGGGGCGTATGAGGTTCCTTCTTGACTTAGCTTTATGATCCAAAGTTCTATGTATCATTTCCATTCAACATTGTTTCATACTTGTGGGAAGAAGCGAACATACTACCTTCTTCCCTGGGCATCATTGTGGGCATCCTTGGGGATGAGGGTGGGGGCGGGGGAGGAGACCTGCCTTAGTGTCGTACTTTAGAATGACGGCTAAACTCACCTCGTCCTGGGTCAGTCCTGGTCCTCAGCTCCCCCCCCCCCCTTGCAATCTGATGCACTCAGGTGAATCTTGTTTTTCCTCTCTTTACTGTCTACAGATAAGTAAGTGCTGGGAGTCAATCTACCCAGGGGTCTCCGTTTTCTAGGCTCCCTTTCCTTAAACCACTCCAGAATAAGTAGATCTAAAGGGAAGAAGCTTGTGCTATTTCTCCTAAGGGTCGCTACTGCCCTTGGGGTACCTCTCAGTTTTCGAGGTCCCCACTTAACCACATAGACACAAAAAGCTGTTAAAAGTGAACTCTGCAGAATAAAACAAAATAGCTCGTGATCCACACAACCGAACGAATATTTCCTTATTTGTATGGGAGGGCTTGACTACACCTGCATTCTCAGGCTCTCAGGCTCTCAGGCTGGTGGTATAGGACCATGAAGGGAGAAAAGCTCTCAATGAGGAGATGACGCCTCTGGCTACTTCATGTGTGCCTGCGATGAACTTAATTCATTCAGGTACCCAGTGTGGTGTCTCCCCTGACAGCTTGTCGGGATGAACGGTGGGCAGCTCATCACAGCGAGTTTAATTTGACCTGCCACAGGAGCTCACGGTGACGGAAGAATCGGTGCTGGGCATCCTAGAACGCTCTGGGGCCTAAATCAGGTCCAGCCCGACCTGGGGGCTCTGGGGCAGCAGGGCAGCCCCAGGCTCCGTCCCTCGTCCGGGCGCTGCACCATCTGCCGAGCTGGAGGTCCTGGGTCCTAAGTCCCGCAGCTCGGCAGATGGTGCAGCCGGACAAGAAGCAGTGGGGTCCAGGTCACCAACTGCTGCTTCCCTGTAGCTCTTTGAGGCTGCTTGGGAGTTTCCTTGGCTACAGAGCCATCCCCTGCCCGAAAATGCTATGGAGGTAGCCTTCTGAGGGATTCTCGAAGTTCTCTGCGTTGCTGAAGAAAAGGGCCAAAGACATGGTGAATCTTCTCTCTAACGTCAGGATGAGGTAAGTACCTGCAGGTGTGATTTGTCTATGTCATGCTCTTGTTCCAGTGAGACTTTCTCTTCCACTCCAAAATGCTATGGGATGGAGACATGATAACAGCTGGCATTTATATAGCACTTTGCAAGTACTTTATATATGTTATCTCATTTAATCCTCACATTTAATCATTTAATCAACCCTGGGAAGTAGGTGCTGTTATTATCCCTATTTTATAGGCAAGGAAACTGAGGTAGATAGTGGGTAAGTGACTGGCCCAGGGTCAGCGGGCAGAATATAATCTTAGGTGTTCCTGATGCTCATTCCATCTTAATTATTATCTTTGAAACCTTGGAAATGGAATGTTTGGATTGGAAAACGCACATTTTTCACTCACTGTTGTTTGGATTGGGGGTGGGGTGGAGACTAGAAGTAATGAGTATGATCTGTTCAGAGGCAGATTTCAGCTCATTATAGGCCATTGTTGAGAAGCAGCTTGTCTTAAAGTGGAAGTTCCCCTGACATGTGCTGGGTATGACCACAGAAAAATCACTTAAACTCTTAGAACAGTAGAGAAGTATTTTCTAAACTAGTTTGACAATACACCCCATCATTTAAAAAATTGTTTATTAATTATATGCATGTACCACTGTAATTATATGCTATGTTATGAAACACACAAAGTAGACATTGAAAAGGAAATGAAGGTGAAATAATTTCTAATTATTTTATTTTATTTTTATGTATTTTTGCTACAAAACTCTTTTCCTTGTCACTAGAACATTAATTTTAAATCTTTAAATAGTGAGATTAGTAGCATACCCTCTATGTTCTGAGCAGTTTATTTTTGATGTTCTGCATTTGCTTCTTAGAATTTCTAATATGTCCTGTGTTAACTGTTTAAATATTCTGGGTGTTTTACCTAAATTCTTGTCACATAATAAGCCACTATTTCTCAACATTTGTTTTTAAAATATATTATAGTTATTAATTTTATGACTGTAGCTGTCATAAACTTTTAAATTCTCTTGTCTAAACAAGGGGTTGATTAACAATTACTATCAAATTGTGCATAGGTGTTAGCTTGTATTATGTAGGTGTAGGGAACTTTGCCCTTACTAAAGTTTGTTGTGGTCGAGGCCACTAGCTTTCCAGAGGCGTTTCCAGATCCTTCACCCCTACACTTCCTTCTGTGTTCTCTACCTCCTGAAATGACTTTTTGTTACTTTTGTATTTACTATTTTGTGTATCTGTTGTATCCCTCAACAGAATGAAAACTTCTATGTTTTACAGCTGAGGAAACTGAGGTAGATAGAGGCTAAGTGACTTGCCATGGTCATCTAGCCAGTAAGTGGAGATTTTTTTTTGTCTTTACATCTTCAGCAGAAGATCCATGCTGCTAGGCACATTGCACAGAGGATGTATTTGGAGTCAGGACGACTTAATTGGGAATCCTGCCTTAGAAATCTACAATAAGTCACTTAACCTCGGTTTGCCTCAGTTTCCTTTGTGTAAAAATGGGGATGGTAATGGCACCTGCCACCCAGGGTTGTTGTGAGGCTCAAATAAGATAATTATATATGTAAAGTGCTCTACAAACTTTAAAGAGCCATATTTACTATTACCTTGCATATACAATAGTAGGCACTTAATAAATGCTTACACATAGCCTAGCACAGTGCCTGGTACATAGCAGGTGCTTAATACATGCTTATTGACTGACTGGACTGAATTGTGCTGCCCATTGGTTGGCCTGATTTGGGCAAGAGAGTCTGAGCAATAATTACTTATTTCTTTCCAGACTTCATTGCAGACTTCCTCTACCATGCCCTGGCTCTCAGCAGACCTAGCTGAAGCCCCACCTTCTGCCCAAGGGCCTTTCATGTTCCTCTCTGCTGCCTTCCGTTGGAGATTACTTGCCATTACCACGACGTGACATGTAGCTTGTATCTATCTGCATAGTTATTTGCATGTTGTCTTTACCATTAGAATGTGAGCTCCTTGAGGGCAGAGACCATGGTTTTTTATCTTTGAATCCTGAGTGCTTAGCACAGTACCTGGCACATAGAAAGTTCTTAACAGATATTTGTTGACTGATTAGATCAGGCCCAGTAATATTTGCTGGTCCATAATAGGTTTTGGATTTGCTTGAGCAAACCTAAAGAGGGTATTTATTTTCTTATAGGCCTAACATCTGTAATTCAGAAACCTTCTGCCAGGTTGATAGTGTTACCTGGTATTGGCTAGGAAGGCCTAACTCTCAGTTTGCCCATGAATAACTGAAATGACATGGTTTAGCCATTTGTTCTTTTTTCTATAATTATAATTTAATTTTAACTCTTTATTAAAACTACATCATAAATGTAGTGTCTACTTACTGAGTACTAACATTTTAAAAATAAATTTAAATCCAAATATAATATGGAACAATCTTAAAGGAAATAAAGCATTGTATAGTGAGAAGTACATTGTACTAGGAGTCAGGTGACCTGAGACTTAATTCTGGATTTCCTATTAACTAATTGTGTGATGTTAGACAAGTTGCTCCTTTTGAGTGCCTCAGTTTCTTTAGTTGTTTAAACTTTTAATGTTTAAAGGGGCTGGATTGAATGGTCTCTAAGACCTATTAGAAAGCCCATTTTGTGGTCTAAGGTCCCTTCTAGCTCTCTGTTCCATGTTTTAAGGTCCCTCATGCTCTAATGTTCTATGTTCTGAGGTCTCTCCTAGCTCTGCCATTTTAAGTTCTAAGGTCTCTCCCAGCTTTGATATTCTAAGTTCTAAGATCCCTCCCAGCTTTCATACCCTATGTTTTATATTCTATTGCCCTGCTCAGCTCTGTCAGTCTACACTCTATGTCTCATCCAGTTTGGACATAGCATATGTCTAATAAAAACAACTCATCTACTCTCAATATAAAATAGAAGTGGTCAAAGGGCTAGAGAATTCTTTTCTGAGTACCTGTTTTGTGTGTGACATTGTATTGGGTAGAGATCCCCAGGAAAGCAGCAGCAGCTGAGAAGGCTCAGAAAAAGAAATAAAGCTTCTGGCACAGGTATAAGAACAATTTGCTTGTAAACTTTAATATTTTCTTACAGTAGAAACATACAGTACAAGCTACACTGAGTATTCATTTTACAGTAAAGCCTGCCAATATAATGTAAAACTAATCTATACCCAAAATGTAAAAAAAAAAAGGCATGTTATTTTTTCACATCATCTGCATGTTTTTTTCTTTTTTTTTTTTCATATATGGCATTAATTCTATAAGAATCATTTACTCTCTTCCAGCACTGCATGACCTAGGTGTCAGCTGTTGCAGCCAATTACCACATTTGTTCCTTCTGAGGGTCATGAGAAGGGTGAGACTGCATGGTGGCAAATGGATTCAATTAGGAGTCAGGTGACCTAAGTTCTGGTCCCCACATTGCCACTAGCTGTGAGACTTTGGCCAAGTCATCCCCTCTCTGGGCCTTGGCCACCATACTAGGTCATCTCCAAGGTCCCTATCAGCTCTACAAGTCTATGATTCTGCCACAAATCTCTCCACTGACAGCCTTGTATTGAACTCAAAGTGGAGAAACTGTTTCCAAATATGATTTCACATTCAAGAGGACATGAAAAGCACAGCTTTCCATCCAAAGAGATTAATGCTACAGCACAGAGATTTGGATCTTAACCAATCTGATGGGATCTTCCCTTTTGAATATGGCTTCCTCACCAGCAATAGGGTTCCTGGAGACTGGTTCTTTCTCGGGTGACACTCAGAAGCTTCTGTACGAGGAAAATATTGTGACTCTCTATTTTTTTTCTAATACTACAGATAATTTTAAAATACTCTAGCACTAAAATTCAGAACCACAGGGTCCAATTTTGCCTTTGGTTGTTATTCTTTGGAGCAACTCCAATAGAAGGTATTTTGGGCTCCACTAAAGACAAAATTTGGTCCATCGTTTTAATTCTGTGACATGAGAATGGGTTGTCCCTGTACAGAAATGGCTCAGGCTCACATGTGTTAGGCCACCTTGTCGTTAGTCAACAGGAAACGGGATTAATTTGAAGAAGAGGTATCCAACATTCCAGAATCCAAGAAGCTGACAATAGCACATAGAGATTCCTTCCTCTACATGACCACTTCAGGCTCAATATTAAAGAGCAAATCATCATTTCCTCTTCGAACTTCAAGAAGTAGGGGTGACTCTTTCATCACAGCTTCCTGAAGTTCACTGGAGTCCTTCAAGGGACGGCCATTTACCTTAACAATGATGTCTCCATCTTTGATTCCTCCTCTGCAAAGGAGATCAGTTGGAATAATTACAATTCACATGTGGTGTAAGGTCAGGTGTTCAGCTGTGGCTGAGGTTACTTATTCTTAACTTTGTTCAATTTAGAGATGGCGAACTTGAGAATATACTTTTGCTACTTTTTGCTGCCTGGGCAACACAATATGGTGATATGGAAATATTACATATAATTATCCTAATTCAGGTTTTATCACTTTTGGCTTGAAATATTTTAATAATCTCCTAATTAATGTCTCTGCTTCTAGTCTCTCCTTTCTCTAATTCATCCTTCACACAGCTACAGAAGTAATCTTTCTAATATGTATTGTTCAGTCATTTCAGTCAGGTCTGACTCTTTGTGACTCCATTTGCAGTTTTCTCAGCAGAGATATTGGAGTGGTTTGCCATTTCCTTCTCCAGCTCATTTTACAGATGAGGAAAGAGAGGCAGACAGGGTTCAGTGACTTGTCCAGGGTCACACAACCAATAAATGAAAGATTTAAACTCAGGAAGATTAGTCTTCCTGACTGTAGGCACCAACTCAATCCACTGAGATACTCAGCTGCCCTTTCTAATGTATATGACCTTTCTAATGACCATACCATTCTTTTACTCTAGAGACTTAAGTGGCTACTCCTTGCCTCTGGGACAAAATGAAAACTGTTTTATTTGGAATTGAAGGCCTTACATAATCTGGATTGACCTAGACTCATTTTACTTTGCTCTCTTTTCACATATCCCCCTCCTGAATTGGGTCATAAGGTTCATAAGATGTTATTGCTGGAAAGGCCTTAGGAAGAATCTAGGCCAAATGAGGAAACTGAATCCCAGTGAACTTAAGACTTATGGGGGTCACTCGGCTAGTAAATGGTAGAGCTGAGCTTCAAACATGACTCCAAATCCCTGACTCACAAATCTCTTAATTCCCAGATCAATATGCTTTTCATTATACTACACAGCTTCTTCCCAATGATCAACAATTCCCTGATCCTGAACACATGGTCAAAGTAAAACAAATGCCCCAATTTAGCATTCCTCTTGGTTTATCATGAAAAGTTCAAAAAAAACAATCACACCCTAACACCCTTTATCTTGAATAATTACAAAACACAAGTTAAATTAGAGACATAAATCTAAATAGGTTTCAAGTGTCTGAATGACTCAAAACTGTTCTTAATTGCTCACCTCTGAGATGGTGAATTTGGGACAACCTCATGTACATAAATCCCACTGCTGACATCAGGAAAATCAGAATTGTTATCCTTCAGTTCTTCCACCAAACTGAAAAGGGATTAAGAAACAAAACAAAAAACAAAACCCACACTGTTATCATTAATTTACCTTAAGGTCTACCTGAGAAATCTGAGGCTCAGACAATCAAAGACCTTGCCTTCATTGCTCAGAGGTGAAATGACAAGGTTGTAGTGGAAAGATCACTTGTCTGGAAACCCTTCCCACCCCACCCACTATTTCCAGCTCTGACATTAAAGCCCCTTCTAGCTCAGACATACTTTGTTCCAGCTCTGATGTTCTAGTTTCTAAGGTCTGTTTAGTCTTGAACATTTTAGGACTCCATGCAACTAAATAACAGAGACAGCTAAAGAATAATTAATGAGAGTTGCAGTACATGTGGTAACTAGGGAGGTTTTCCCAATGGTTCTAATTGATGTAGAACTACAAAAGTGTAGGTTGGGAGGTCCTTGGAATCTGCTGTATAAATATATTCTTCCTAAGAACTTTTCTGAGTAGATGTTTACTCCCCTAATAGCCAAGAATTGAATTCAATTTAAAGAAATTTATTAAGTGCCTACTCTGTTCTGTTATAAACTATATATGATGAACAACCCCACAGGTACCAAGTTCTAAGTTCTGTTCTTTTTTGGGGGGAGGAGGGTGTTCCAGTAGTAGCATAGAGGACATGAATTGGGTTTGAAGAGAAGGAAGAAATAAAGTTAAATTGATTTTTAAATTTTCGTTTGTGGTAGTGGATGACTGAGGACAGACAAAGCATTGTAGCCCTCAGATATATTTCTAAGAGGTAAATATAAGAATCAATTGTTTCATTTACAATTGAAAATGGAGAGGTGTGAATAAATTCTTTCCTTCATAAGTTCAAAACAATGAAAGCCCTTTATAAAGTCATAATCACCCTAGAGCCTAGCCTTTTGTGGGGACAGGAAGGAAGAACAAGGAAGGAGATAAGTGAGCATTCTGGAGACTGCAGTTTGTAGATCAGGCTTCTTTATAACCTCGTATGACTGCCTGCAGGGCAGGTAGGCGGTGGAGTGGAACACAGGAACGCTGAAATCACCATATGGGTTCAGCCCAAGGTTCTATATCTGATTGGAGATTCCAGGGACAGAGTGTGGAAGATACAACTATTCCCTATGGTGCTACCCTGGAAAGGGTATTCCTAGACAGGGGTAGGGAACTCGTGGCCTTAAGGCCACATGGGGCCCTCGAGGTCCTCAAATGTAGCCTTTTGACTGAATCCAAGCTTCACAGAACAAATCCCCTTAATGAAATGATTTGTTCTGTGAAGTTTGGATTCAGTTGAAGGGCCACACTTGAGTACCTAGAGGGCCACGTAGGGTCTCAAGGCCGCAGGTTCCCCAAATCTGCCCTAGGATATCTTGATTTCACATAATAAATAATTATAGGTTTTTGTCACATGTAGTTGGTGTGTTCTGACAGATGTGATTTGGCTCAAAACATTTTCAAATGTGCAATCACAAACTAACAGGAATGTATTCAGTGGAGAGGAACCAAGATGGCAAAAAGACAAGACACTATCAGATGAGACCTGGTTGAACCTATTTTTTTTTTTTTTAGGCAACCGGGGTTAAGAGAGTTGCTCAGGGTCACACAGCTAGTAAGTGTCAAGTGTTTGGTCTGAGGCCAGATTTGAACTCAGGTCCTCCTGACTCCAAGGCCAGAGTTCTATCCACTGCACCACCTAGCTGCCCAAGGACCTGGCTGAAGGAACCTGTAATGTTTAGCTTACAGAAGAAGGGTCTTAGGTGAAAGGGAGAGAGAGAGAGAGAGATTTGATCTCTGCCTTTAAGTTTTTAATAGTCTGTCCTACAAAACATGGAATAGACTTATTTTGCTTGGCCCCAGATAGCAGAATTAGGACAGATAGGTACAAGTTGCAGAGAGACAGAGTTAGGCTCATTGTAAGAAAAGACTTCAAATAAAGAGATCTGTACAACAATGCAACAGGCCATCTTAGGAAGCAGTGAGTTCTCTTTTGCTTGAGGTCATCAAGCAAGGCTTAATTACCTCTTGCTGGAGATACTGTAGACGGAATATTCTATAGGCAGTGATCGGATAAACTGCCCTCTGAGGTTCTTTCCAACTCTGACTGTCTGTCGTGCTATGATTTTATCCTGAGCCGATTTAGTTAGGAGCATGAGAATGACTACCCAAAGACAACCGTAACAGTACTTAACATATTATGGGATTCCCCAGCCCCCTCAGACACCTACACTGGTGTAATGGTCCGCATCCGTATGCCAATGAAGCGCTTTTTTACATCTGGAAAAGAAATGGTAGGATATCGTTAGTTTGGAATGATCAGTTTCTTCCTTGAGATAATGAACCTAGCAGAGCTCCCTAAACGTTTACATCCCTCCTCTGCACCCTCAATGATCTGAACAGGAAACTGGCTTATTATTCACATAGTACACTGTTCAATGCAGTACATAGTACAGTGAGAAGAACCTTGGTTCTGGAGTCAGAGAATCTGGGTTCAAATACTGCCTCAGATGCTTACTAATGATGTGAGACTTTGGGCAAGTCACTTAACCATCCTGGGCCTCTTTTTCCTCATTTGTAAAATAGAGACTTTGAGGTCACTTTCAGCTCTGGGACTAGAATCCTATGATCTTGACTTAATAACTGTCTTCATGTATTTAAAGGGCTTCCAAGTCAAAGATGGATTGCATTTACTCTGTTTGACCTTAGAGGTCAGGACTGACTAGGAGGAGTTGCAGTAAAGCAAGTTTCAGCTGAATGTAAGGAAAAGTTTCATTAACACTTGGTGGAATGAGTCGCCTTAGGAGGAAGATGGTTCCCAATCACTGAAGTCTCTGTTGAAGATGCTATAAAGGGGGCTAATGCTGGCCACAGTACCTTCCAACTCTGAGATTCTGTGGTTCTAAGACCCCTCCTAGGTCTAACATTCTAGGAGTCTTACCACTTTATCCAGCATTGACCGTATGTCTAGCCAATGCTGGGGATTGTTATTGTTTGGTTGTTTAATTATGTCCGACTCTTTGGGACCTTGTGGACCATACTGTTCATGGGGTTTTCTTGGCAAAGATACTAGAGTAGTTTGCCATTTCCTTCTCCAGTGGATAAGGCAAACAGGTTAAGTGACTTGCCCAGGGTCACACAGCTACTAAGTGTCTGAGGACAGATTTGAACTCAGGTCTTCTTGATTCCAGGCCCAGTACTCTATTCACTGAGCCATTTAGCTACTGGGGCTTAGGAACATACAAAGAAGCATATGACAATATGCGGAATCTTATATTTACCATTTAAAATTTTTAAACACACAATTTAGACAATACAGTTTTGGTTTTTTATCATAAAAATAGCTATCTATCCCCCCAGAAATCTTAGTGTGGTTTTAAGCAATCAGGCTATTAAGCTTTAATAATTTAATAATTATTTTTAATAATTTAATAAGCTTTATAGCTTAATTACCTAAAACCACACTAAGACTTTTGGGGCACCCTGTGTTAAGGTAGCTTAATGCAGTGAAAGGAGTGTTAGCCCAAGAAACAGGGGGAAGCTTCTAGCCCCAGCACCACCATGGACTTTCCTTGGGCAAGTGTATTAAACTCAGGGCCTCAGTCTTCCCATTGATCAGTGGAGATAAATTGTGTCTCCAGTGATGTTATGAGGATCAAAAGAGGTAATGAATATGATAAGCTTTTTATGTTAGAAACCTCAAACACCACTCTCATTGGGCTATTTTTTAAAGCTGTCTTAACAAGATTGTGCAAGCTATATTATAAAGTCACAGATAATATCAACTCCAGCCAGGCATGTGCTTTTGAGAAATCATCACGTGTTTGAAGAAAATCCTCTCCCACCTGTTTAACCCAACTGGCATTAGTGCTATGGCTCAGTCTACACTCTGCCTTGTATTTTAGGTTATTTGTATGCATGTCACACCTCTGCTAGACTGTAAGCTATGTGTGGGCAAGAACCATGTTCTTGTCATCTGTGAATCCCTCCATTTCCCAGATCATCGGCACAGATTCTTAATAAATAGAATTACAAAGTTAGAAAATGTCCCAGGAGTCATTCAGTCTATTCCTCCATCCAGAGCTCAATATCCCTGATATACAGTGATCCCATCTGCTAAAATATGCCCATGGATGAAGAATTCACTACTTTTTGTGGTAACCCATGCAGTGTTAGGGAGAAGGGGAAGGGCACACGTATTTATGCTCAAATTGTTAAGAAATTCCATCGTATATTGAAGAAAAATCTACATCTTATCTCCTTTTCATTGGTTCCACACCTGTCCTCTGTTGATCTGACGAGTAATTTTGCACATTAATTTCAATCACATCATCTTAAAGAAATAACAGAAATGTGCCAAGTCAGCTGCACACATATTTTAGCCAATCAATCAGTTCTTCTCTGTGGACAGAACTTTTTCTTAGAACTACAATTCATCTGTAAGATCTTTAAGGACAAATGGTACTTTAATTTTTGGTAGCTAAGTCTCCACCCCCTCTCTCAGTGTTGGCAACCAGAAGGTAAGTATCAAAAATAACAAACATGGGGTTTGGGACTCAGAGGGTCTAGATTTGAATGCCAGCTCTGCTACTTACTACCTATGTAGCTCTGAGCAAGCCATTAGCCCCACCAGGCCCAGTTTCCTCATCTATCAAATGGGATGGTTGAAAAAGATTCCCTTTAAAGTCCTTTCCAGCTCTTAATCTATGATCACATATCTCTGTTTGCTGAGCACTGGGAGAGGTAGGGAGACATCAAGTTCAGAAAAGAAAGAACTGCTCTTAAGGAGTGTATGGTCTAGAAGGGGAATGAGGATAGCTATGGTATACACTGTGACTTGATAAGTGCATTGAATGGTGCAAAAAAAAAAAAGCCCCAGTATGTGTGCTAACCTGGGGTATAGACTCATAAATACTTCAAATACCAAAGTATAGTAAAAATCAACAATCAATGTATGGTTAGGGAAAAGAGGACATTTAGGTTAATTGGATATGTTTTCTAATTAACAAAGTATCAACTAGGTGATCCTTTATTTTCTCTCTGATTGTTGAAAAGCCTCTTTATAAAAGGTATGGACTGAGCAGCTGGGTGGTTCAGTGGATAGAGCACCAGCCAAGAGTCAGGAAGACTCATCTTCCTGAGGTCAGATCTTGTCTGAGACGCTAATTGGCTGTGTGACCTTGGGAGAGTCATTTAACCTGTTTGCCTCAGTTTCCTCATCTGTAAAATGAACTGGACAATTGACAAGAAAACCCCAAATGGGGTCATGAAGAGTAAGACATGACTGGAAACATGAGTTCATAGTGTGGTGAAAAGAGGACTGGATTGAGGACCAGGAGACAGTGATTCTGGATTCTAGCCAATTCACTTCTACTCACAGAATCTCAGTCTCTTCATTTGTAAAATGGGAATATTTCTACTAGCCCTACATGCCTCACAGGCTTATTGTAAAGATGAAATGATACAATGGGTGTGAAAGTGCTTTGAAAATTCATATTTAATCACTCTTCCCTGCTTCAGTAAATATTATATGCTGAACACAGTGAATTTTTGAGCATTATAATTTTTGTAGTTGGTACACAAGATCATCACTTGGGTCCTGTTGTTCAGGGCAGCGATTGCATAAATTCCAGGAGAGGGAGTTACAGTGTGGAAGTGAGTTTTCTAATTAAATCTCTTGGCAGTTTCTCCTAAAAGTGAGTCCTATTTACCCAATGTTTCTCAGCAATTGTAGTTCAGATGATCAAATCCAAAGTGTCAGGCACCTCAGTCTCATTAATTGAGAACAGCTACCTGGGGTCAGTTGATACCTAATTGATGAGGTTTTCACTGCAAACTTCTTCTCATTTCTAGTTTGGATTGTAGCAGTGCTAATGGACCTTTGGACAGTAGAATAACACCTGGCACATAGAGAATGATTAACGCCCATTGACTATAGATTAGAGGCACTGGTATGGCGAACCTCGTGGATGCTGGAATTGGGAGTAAGGAAGGCTGGGCCTGAATCCTAACATTGCTACTTCCTAGCTCTGTGCCCCTGAGCAAGTCTTTCACCTTTCTGGGTCTCAGTTTTCCATATGTAACATGAGACCAATATTACTGATATTTCCTAAACTGCAGTTATTCAAAATGATGTAATATACGAGATCAGGGATGTAAAATATATGGTAGACTGTAAAGGGCTATAGAAATTTGGACTAATTTAATTACTCTACAAAACTCCCCTTGAGAAAGAATTGGGAATAGAAAGAGAACTAAATTCAGAATTGAGATGGGCAGTGTTCTTTACACAGGCAGTAAGGATAGTCACAATAGGACTTACTTTACTTACTGCCTGTGTAAACTTGGGCAAGTAATTAATATCTTTGTTTTTGGTCTCAGTTTTCTTATCTGTGCCATGAGTGGGGAGGGGTTGAGCTATGTTATGAACTTCCTTCCAACTCTAAGTCTTCTGGTCTAGTCAGAAATGTTTGAAGGCATTCACATCACAATGTGATAAGTAGTGTGACAAAGTGGACAGAGGGCTGGCCTGAGTCAGGAAGACCTGGGTTCGAGCCTTGCCTCTGACACATTGTGGATGGGTAGTTCTGGGCAGGTCACCTCCCAGCAGGTTGTTGAGGACCTTTCAGAAGGTCTCAGGAGCCCGGGAAATTCCTAAGAAAGGGGAGTTGAAGTAAAGTTGACCATCTGCCTTGGTAGAGGGAGATTCCCTTTCCACAGTTTCTTATACCAATGAAATTATGACAGATTTGTACCTAAAAAAGGACCAGAGCAGGTTTGACCTCCACATGATCCATAGAGATTTGTGGGGATGGATTTGCTGCCATCACATGTACTTTGGGAAAAAACATATCCAAAACGGAATTCAAGAAGGCACTCTATTCTCTGGAAGGTTTGAAGAATTATTATTACTATTATTATTATTATTATTATTATTATCATTATTATTATTAACAAAAATACAATAGTTGACATTTATATAGAATTTTATGGCCACAAACTTTTTTTCCCACACATACATTATCTCATCTTCGTAACGGTATTATGAGGTAGGAAATTTTAAGGATTACTATGTTCATTTTATAGATGATGAAACTGATGCTCAAAAAAGGAACCCAGGTATATAGTATGTAATGTAATAGCTTATATAGTTTGTATATGTTTGCATGTTGTCTCCCCCATCAGATTGCAGGCTTTTTGAGGGCAGGGACCATCTTTTGCCTCTTTTTGTATACTCAGCACTTAGCACAGTGCCTGCCTCACAGCAGGTGCTTAATAAATGTTTATTCATTGATTATTGATTGACTGAATATCCTGCCTGGCCACAGAAGGCAGAAATAGGAGCAATGGTAATAGAAAGGAAGATTTCAACTTTAACAGGGTAAGAAAAATAAAACATCCTCACTATTAATCTTGTATAAAAGCAGAATTGGCTGCTTAGCTTAGGAAGTAATGATTCCCCTATTGCTGGAGGTCTTTGAGCAGTGGCTAGATGGTTGCTTCTCAGGGATCTTGTAGAGGGGATTCCTGTCCAGATACGGGTTCTTGGGATTGTATGGATGGATTAGATGCCAATTAAGCTCTCTTCCAACTTCCAGCTTCCAAAATGCGGGATCTTAGAATTATTAGGGTTTCTAAGAGATGACAGAGACCAATGCCTTCATTTTAAAGAGGTGAAAACTGAGGCAGTAGAAATGAAGTGACCTATGCAGTTACATAATTAGTAAGGGACAGTATTGAGATTAGGACCCAGGTCTTTTGGCTCTTTTTACCCCGCTGACAGTGAGTCTCCTGCCACATTCTTTCTTCAGCCTCATTAAATTTCCTATTCCTAAAGTCCAACAAACTGGAAACCCTGGCATGAGCTTGGAAATGACCAAATTGTTTCCACTTGCGGGGCCAGACGTTACACCTGAGAAGCCAGAGGAACCAGCAGGGAGCGTATGTATAGCCTGTCTCAGAGTAACTCACATTTCCATGTGGTCAGGGCTCACAGATGACTGCTGTCATTGCTGGTCAATTTCCACACATGTCATGGGCTTCAAGGGTTTTAAAAAGGTGGCATTAACTATTCACACTGTAAACAACCAATGAAAGCTTCATACCCTTTACATACAGCACCAGAATTCCTGGTGAGGATTGTGATGAATGGAAACATTAGAGGCTCTTTAATTTAAAATGCAGAGATAAAAGGACTTTGGATTAAAAGAGTTTGGATTATCTGATGCTTTTATTAAAGGAAATGGCAGACCCCTGAATCATTTGAGGGACCCAATCTGTGCATCCTTTTTGGTAAATGGGAAATGGCTTAACAAAGTTTGGCTGTATTCTGAAGAATTACAGGATTGCGAAGTATTTTCTTTTACTGGTAGCTGAGGTGGTAGGCACTGTACAGGACAGTTTCTGTTCCCTAAGAGCTTATGTTCTTAAATACAACCATGAACACCCATCTATTTTATTTGAGCCAGTCTGGTGTGAACATGGAGGAGTGACAGTTCCTCTGTCCTCTCTCTGGTTAGACCATATCTCGGCAACTACGTTCAGTGTGCGGGTTCATGTTTTTGAAAGGACATTGACGAGTTAGAGTCACCAATGGAGGACAATCAGATGATGAGGGGACTGGAAACCAGGTCATATGAGGATTAATGAAAGAAACTGGGGATATTGATCTTGGAGAAGAGAAGATTTGGGGTGGGATAGGGATAAGAAGGGGATTATAGCTATCTTCAACTATATGACAGGTTGTTACATGGAACAATGAGGCTCCAGAGGGAGATGCTAGGATAAATGGGTAGACAATCCAGAGGAATGAATACATTTTAGCTCAATATAAGGAAGAACTTTCTAATAATAAGAGCTATTCAAAAGTACAATGGGCTACTTATGAGGTGAGGTAGTAAGCTCCCTGTAACTTACAGTGTTCAAGAGGATATTGGTTAGGCACATATTGAGGACCATTGAGATTCCTGCATTGGGAGGAGAGTTGGTGACCTCTTAGGCCCCATCTAGCTCAGATTCTCCTGGAGAGAATATGTGAATAAGAAAACCAAAATGGAAGTTGGATACGGTGATCATAATGTAACTCGAAGGACAGCATGGGGCTCAGTATCCTTAGATGGTGGGATCTGAGGGGAAAGTGGTTATGTGTGATGTCTTCTCTTTCCCAGATGATTATGATGGAATCTGAACTGGAGCTTTAAAGCGATGGAAGGTTAACAGCTGTTTGAGAAGCCTGCAGGTTCAGTTTCACAGAGGTGGCGATGGGAAAAGGACGACAAAAATAGTGACCACTGACATTGATGGTGCTTTAAAGTTGGTGAAGCCCATTCCAGGCATCACCTCATTTGATCCTCACAGCAGCCTAATGAGATAGGTATTATTACCCCCAATTTACAGATGAGGAAACTGAGACTTAGAGAGGTTAAATGCCTTGCCTAAAGTCAGAGTTAGCCCCAAACCCAGATATTCCCATTTCCAAGAAATGAACAGCTGAAACTGGAGAGGAGGTTAGCTCAGCAAATCAAAAATCAGTGGGGAGAAGAGAAATGTAGTAGGAGCAGAGAAAGCTCTGCATGAGAAGGGCTAGTCACCTGAATTCAAGATGGAACATTATTAGACACCACTGATTTTATTAAAGGGTAGAGCAATAATGCCTCACACTACCCTCATGTCACGTAATACAAAATATTTAGGATTACAAAGGAAAGCAATTTAAATACAGTTATCAAAATATTAAAAAAAAAAAAAAACAAGTTCACAGACCACCCCCCACCCCCACTCCCCTGCCCAGGTTAAGAGCCCCTGGACTGGATGATCTCTGAGATCCTACCTCGCTCTGAAACTTATGATGCTATGAGATGAGACTGCTGATGACAGGGAAGGAAGAAGAGTTTGGCAACTACCTGAGTGTGGAGTGAGGTGGGTGAGGGGGCACAGAAGAGCCAGGGAGAAGCTGGGGATGACTCACTTAGTGTCTCAACTCTGTGCAAAACCTCTGGGGGAAAAGGGATGAAGCTAGTACCAGGAGACAAGACAAGCAACATCTTCACAACATATTGCTTTGATCCGAGCCCAAGGCTCTATTTTCTTCTGCTTTGGCTCTCCATGAGAAGAGAGTTGTTAGACTTGGCACTGTCTCATCCCTGGTCCAGGGCCGGCTCACATGCTTTATTCTCAGGTACCAGCCTTTGTTTGCATCCCCAAGTTAACTGGCCGAAGCTGAGGCCTCACTCTTCAGGGGAAGTGGGCATTTTACAGGGAGAATTGTTTTTTGTTTTTGTTTTTCCAATCTTCTGAGGGTTGGTTTTTCTAAGGTCTCCAGGCAGGGACTTTACCTTTATTTTGCTTGTCGTAGGACTCGGTAAGGAAGCGTGTGATACGATCTGAAGGAATAGCAAAGGAGATCCCAGCTGCAACTTTTAATGTGTTTATTCCAATGACTTCTCCATCCTGTGCAAAGAGAAGGGATTCAGTGGTCACTAGAGGACAATAAAGCAAGCCACATTGCCCGCAACTTTTAAAAAGAAAGATAAAAGTTAGTCCAGGTTTCTAAAAGGAACAGCTGCCCATTCAGTGTAAAATGCCTCACTCTAAAATGCTTCCCCAAAGTATCCTTTTAAAGCTGACTGCTTCACTTATAATGGCCAATTTCCCATTTTATTCTCTCCGAACTCAAGGAGGAGCTGAATGAGCCCAAATCTGACTAGCACCTCTAAATGTATGAGAGTTGGCTTTCCAAGAGATATAAGAAAAAAGAGTGGGAATATTCTCCTTAGATATGCATTTTACAGATAAGGAAATGGAGGCACAGAGCTAATGGTTTGCTTACTATCACACTGCTAGAAGCTTTCATACGTTTTCTTCCATCACTCACATCAGTCTGAATAACCCATGTCACAACCTACTTAGAACCATAAAATTCTGGAATGCGCTTTTCAATATAGAATGTCGGAGCTAGAACACAGATCACAGAGTATTAGGGTAGAGATTTTTTCAGAAATCACCTGGTCCAAACTACTTATTTACAGATTTAGAAACTGTGGCCCAGAGAGAGGAAATGATTTCCTTAATGATTTAATTTAACTCAATGACGCCAAAGCCCTTAGCACAGTCTGCTGTCTCAGTATCAGAAATTGATATGATTTTATCAGTGGACGTGACATCAGAGAAGAAGCACTCTCTCTGCTTTGCTGATGCACCCCAAAAACGCTGGGGTTTTTCCATCTGACTTGAAGCTGAAACCTTCCATACACATTCTTTTCCCTTTTAGAATGTGAGCCCCTGGAGAGCTGGCACTATTTTGCTTTTTTAATTTGTATCTCTAGTGCTCTGCACTCAGTAAATCCTTAATAAATACTTTGCACACAGTAAGTGCTTAATAAACGCTTCATTCATTTCTAGATTTGAAAAAAGAAATCTTCCAACAGTGAATGTCCCTTTCTGTCTTCCATTTCTACCCTCGATGTTCACCATAGTTGTCCCCGCAGTTCCCAGACACAGCTCAGCTAGAGAAGTTTTGGAGGAGTCTACCAATCTCCTAAAGTTCCAGGAGATGGGAGGGGGGTGGAGGGCCCTTGCACAGTGGAAGTCTTGGGGAAATCAAGCAGCATTCTAAATGCCCCATAGACAGGCTTCTTGGAAACAGCTCTAAAGCCAAAGCTCCTGAGAGTTTCTCCTCTTAGCAGTAATACTATCTGACATTGAAGACTTAATCTTGTTTTATGGAGAGACTAATGATCCTTTCGCTGGTTTGCCTGGCCTTTTGCTCTCCCATCATGCTCCTTCTTGGTAGTCACATCCAGGCTCATTAATAAGAAACTCATGGAAATTCAAATAGACTTTTGATCTAAAATTAACTTTCAATCGTGTACTTACCAGATTAACTAGAGGTCCTCCTGAGTTTCCATACTATAAAAAGGGAATAAAAGGCAACTATTAGATTTTCAATTTTAGGGAAAAAAATATATTAAAAATATAGTTCAAAGAAGTGCCATAAAACATTGTAACTGGAAGGGACCTTGGGACCATAGCACACAGCTTCTAATCACCTTCTAATTGTGTTGCCTCCCTAGGTAGAAGGTAAGCTTCTTGAAGGCAGGGACTGTTTTTGCTTTTCTTCATACAGTAAGTGTTTAATAAATGTTTATTTAAGAATTGATTACAGTGAGAAGGCATAGAGGACACAGTAAACAAGATCTGAAAGAATCTTAGAACAGGGACCACTAGAGCTCAAAGAAATATTAAAACAGCTGAGAGAATCCTCAATTTTATATAGGCTCAGGGATGTGAATTAACTTGCCCAAGGTCACACAGGGGATTAGTGGCAGAGCTGGGGAGTGAAATCAAGTCTTCTACTTCCCAGTCTGAGACCTTACCAATGTACCACAGTGCCCAGTTTTCAAAAGGGAACTCCTAAAAGGTTCTTGCTAAATGGCAGATTCACTGATAAAGGTGTACAACCTCCCAAGGGGATCAACTTTGAAAGGAAAAACACTCTTTTGGATGGATGATTGTTTTGGTCTGTTTGTTAAAAGATCTGTCTCAGGTTATAGCCATTTTTTTTTTGTACATGATTACAACCTATCTTGGGCCATCACAAAGAAAGAATGGATCTTAAAAATCAATTATAAAGAACTACATAAATGTGGATTATTATTCATGTGGAAATACCCAGAAAAACGATAAAACCCTATGCAGACTCAAGGATGCAGTAGTGAGCTCTCTGTCAGAGGAAGTGTGCGAGTGGAGGCATGTGTTTTCCTAATGAAGTAATATTTAAAAAAGTCATACACATCTCCTCCCCCTCGCCTACTTTAAGCACTAACAGCTACCTAGCATTCATTTGTCCTAAAGTGTGTGGAAAGGTGAGGTTTAAACATTGATTTGTCTTGAGGAAAGGTCTGAACCACATCGTTTTTAAAACTTTTTTTTTTTACTATGAACATAATCATCTATAAATCCAAACACTTAAACAAAGAAGAACAAAATGAAGGATTGTAAATGAAACGGTGAATTTCTGCTGCATAGAATTTGTTTTTTAAAAATGTATATACATATATACATATACATACATACATATACATATATACACTACACTACACTTTTCATGAAGTCTTTTTTTTTAAGTTCAATGACACTCTGACAACTCTGTACTTATTTGTTCCTCTGGATCAGTAAGAACTCTTCATATTTTTTTCACAAGTACATAAATGTTTCTGATTTGGGTGCTGCTTAAGCCTTAGGAACACTTTAGAAGGAAACATTCATCCCTATTCCCATTGAAACTTTCTGGATCCCAAGGTAGGAGGCATCTTCCCAGCTGAACTTACAAATCTCACTTAATAAGTCAATGCCAAAACAACAATAATGACTTTTAAATGCTGATTTTCTATACTAAACTGTAATGAAACCACCTTTCCAGATGTAGTCTGGAATATTATGTTCAGTTCTAAGCATGACATTTTGGGAGGGTCATTGACATATTGGATTGAGTACAGAGAAGGATAATCAGGATTATGAGGGGACTGGAAATTGTGGCATATGGTGACTAGTTAAAGGAACTGAAGTTTAGCCTGGTGTCTTAGGGGAGACATGAAGGCTGTTTTTATATATTTGATGGATTGTCCCATGGAGGAGGGATTTGTTACTCTCGAAAGGGAGAGCAAGTAGATGATAATACAAGAAAGAACTTTTTAGCCATTAGAGCTATAAAATGAACTTCCTCCTGCCTTATACAGTGAGTTCTCATGACTCTTTAGTGTCAAAGCAGAGACTGGATGGCTATTTGTTAGAGGTGCATTGGGAAGGTGAACTAAGGTCCCTTATTAATTCACTTACCAACTTAGTTTCATCATCTGTAAAGTGAGGATGATAATCCCTGTTCTATGTACAGCACAGTCTATAACTCATAAAATAGAGGAAGCCAATTTATTTAGAATATGCCCCTACCACATGCCCAGGGGATTTAGTACTATATCATAATACCACTTCTTTTGGAAAGGTAGACAGCCATTTACTCCATACCCAGAACAGAAGCCTTAATAAATATGAAACTTTAAGTAACTGGTCCAGATGGGTTTGGCATAACCATAACTAGAATGAGGTGACTGGTACTTTGCCCCAGGGTGCTGAATTTAGATGGCACTGACAGTGCTTTCAGTCCTTCAGCAGGGCAGAAGCAACAGAGCTTAACACCTAATCAGCTAAAATAGGAAAATAGCAGATGAGCACTTTTCTTGTCTAGCTTTCCCTCCTAGCTTCCCCTTCCTGGGCAGGCTTCTACAATGCTAGCCCTGGGCAAAATTGATGAGGTTTGCTCTAGGCATTAAAATTTTTACTTATGGCACTGGTTCTTAGCTCATCCATACAAATGTATTATATGTGTGTATACATACATATATATGTCTGTGTATATGTTATATATGTATATATATGTTTGACTATATATAAATACATATATATGTGAATAGGTATATATATATATATATATATATACACACACACACACACATACATACAGTTTCTTCATCTTTAAAATGGGGATAATAATAGTACTCACCTCCCAGGATGTGATGAGTATCAAATAAGATAATATTTGTAAAGCTCTTAGCACAGTGCCTGGCACACAGTAGGTGCTTAATTAATGCTTGTTCCCTCCCTCCCGTCTGCTTCCTCTCAGATGTACCTATACCTGTTCAAATCCATAAGCAGAAACCAGCCCATCTACAAGCATCATTGTTGATGTTGGACAGTTCAAATACAGCTATCGGTATCAACAGTATGTTTTCAGAATGAAGTGCGTGACTTACATTGATGATGGCATCTGTCTGAATATAGTCCATGTCAGAGTCCTTAAGACCCAATTCCTTCCCGTCTCGCTGGGCTGTGCTGACAATTCCTGTTGTGACTGTGTTTTGTAAGGCAAAAGGGCTCCCGATAGCTACCACAAATTCTCCTGGCCTCAGGTCTGCCGAATGACCCAGCAGTAACACAGGTAGTTTTTTCTAAAGGAGAGAAAATTGAACATAGGAAGATGAATACCAGCATTCTTTCTTTCATTCAACAATTCATTGGTCACATTTCTTAGAAGAAAATAATGAGTTACTCAATGCCTATCAGCCAAAGCTCTGCATCTTAACTGTCCTAGAGAATTGCCCAGGGATAGTGAGGGGTAGAGACACTTGACCAGGGCTGCACATCCAGCATGTGGCAGGGACAGGACTCGAGCCCAGGCCTTACTGAGCCTGAGGTCAGCTTTCTATCCAGTTAGTCATGCTGCTCTCAATGAAAGGTAAAGGTGAGAAACTTTTGCCTGCTCATATTAATAGTAACAATGATAACAACATGGTGTTTTGGTGTATCCATATAATATCTAGCTAGCATTTTATAGAGTACTTTAAGGTTTGTAAAGTGCTTTACATATAGTTTCTCATTTGATCTTTGCAACAACCCTGGGAGATAGGTGCTATTATTACTTTGTCTTTGCAGATGAGGAAACTAAGATAGAGGTTAAGTGAGTTGCCTAGGGTCATACAACTAGTAAGTGTCAGGCAGAATTTGAACTTGGGTCTTCCTAATTCCAAGCCTAGTATTCTATCCATGGCATCAGCTCTTTATATGGAGATATTATTATTATAATTATTATTATTTTGGTGTCAGGAGAAATCTGGGTCAAATCCTGACTATAACACTACATAGATACATAGCCATAGATGAGTCGTTTCACATCTTTAAGTCTGTTTCCTCATCTGTAAAATGGCCACAATACTTTCACTCAATGCCTAAGTATCTTGTGGAGAAAGTGTGTTGTAAACCTTAAAGCAGTACAAAAAAATGGGCAGCTATATAGTGCCATAGTAGATAGAGTGCCAGGCCTAGAGTCAGGAAGACTCATCTTCATGAGTTCAAATCCAGCCTCAGACACCCTGGGCAAGTCACTTAACCTTGTTTGCCTCAGTTTCCTCATCTGTAAAATGAGCCACAGAAGGAAATGGCAAACCACTCCAGTACCTTTGCTAAGAAAACCCCAAACGGGGTCACGGAGAGTCGGATACAATTGAAATGATTGAACAACAAGAGCACAGAAATGTGAGTTATTATTCTTCTTTATTGTTATTATTATGATTTACGTGGAACTCTATAAAATGTTTTTATCTATGGAAGCAGAAAGAAGATTGGCTGAAGTCAGAAGACGAAGGTTCTATACGTACTCTACCTGAATGATCATAGATAAGGCACTGGGCTTCAGTTTTTTCAACTATTGAAAGAAGGGGTTGGTGGAGATGACCTCTGAGATCCCTCCCATCTCTAGCTCATCTATCCTATGATCTTCATGACAACCTGGAAACTGAGGCTCAGAGAGATGACTTTCCCAAAGCCAAAATGCGCTCAATCCTTAGTATGTCCAAAGCCTTCATCCTCAACAACACTAAATCCCAGGGCCCCATCTAACTCACTATACAATTCCCTCCCATGCCACTTCTCTCCTCCACCCAGCCAGGATGAGGGAATGCAAACTCATTTGAATTTGAGCCTAAGCAAAACCTAATTATAGCCCCAATCTATAAAAGTCACGCAATGCATACCAGAGCCAAATATAAACTGTTTCTGGATGAAAGACAGCCTAGTGTAGTGGAAAGAACTCTAGCCTCTCGGTTTAGTTCTCTTATTAATTCACTCCATGGCCTTGGGCAAATAAGAGTTGGAAGGGGCTAGATGTTCTCTAAGAACAACCTTTTATTTTAACATTGAAAAAAACAGTGCTCATGTACTTGTCTCTCTCATTCCCTGGTACTCCATTTCCTCCCTTTGTAAAATAAGGGATATCTCTAAGGTCCCTTCCAGCTATGAAATGCTATGTCCAATGTTGGTATATTCCTCTTTGTGCAGACTTCAATTGTGAAAGCCCAAGTTTCCACAAAAGATAAAGAGGTGAAAATTAAAAACTTCACAGAGCTTCACTTTATTGAATAAGACTCACCATCAAAGTATCAAAGGGGGATCCCAAGGTTGCTTGGACATTTACAGAATTAGACCAAACCCAACATTCCATTCCTCCTCAATTAAATGGGTTCAAAAGCAATCCTTGTGTGACTTTGGACAAATTACTCGCCGATCCTAAGCCACAGTTTTCTAATTTGTAAAATGAGGGAGATCTCTTCAAGTCCTATGATCCTGTTGGTCCTTACTCTTTGACCCCAAATATTAAATGGAAACTATATGCATTTGGTGAGATGAGAGGCCCTTTCAACTTTCTTAGATGATCATTCCAGACTTTATTAGGACTATTATTACTGGGGAGCAAGTGCTTTGGTTGGCCTATGAATTAGGAGACAGGGAGTCTATTTCCCCAAGTTTTAATTTCATGACCTAAGTCAGTCTCTGAGCCTAAGACTGATATTTGTAAAATAAGAATCTGTACTTATCCACACCCTTCCACAGGTTGTCTGGAGGTCAAATTTTAATAGGTAAACAGGAAACTTATCTGGAAAAAAATTTTTTAGAGCTAAAAAGAACCTTAGAGATTATCCATCCAACCTCTTAATTTTATAAGTGAGAAAAATGAGGCCTTGCTTTCCTGATTAGGGACTGTCTCCCCAGGACTACCACTTTAGCAAGGACCCTGGCCAGACTTCACTTAACTCTTGCCTGCGCTCATTCTTTGGACTTTTCCTTCTCTTAGCCTGTCACCCTAGAGAAACCCTTACTCCGAGACCTTGCCTACCTGATGGGTGACTCCCTTCCTGAGACCCACCAGTGTAGGAGGGCCCTAGTCATGCTTCGTTTTCTCCTCCCTCTCACCCACCTTCCTTGCTTCTTTCTCCATCTACCCTTCTCCTTTCCAGCTCCCCCACATGGTTTGTCTTTCCTCATTAGATGGTGAACTCCTTGAAGGCAGAGACTCTTTTGCCTCTGTTTGTATCCCCAGCACTCAGCACTGTGCCTGGCATGTAGTAGGTACTTAATAAATGTTCTTGATTGAGGGAATACTGAAAAGAGGGGACTAAGCTAGATTGGTTCTAAGTTCTCTTCTACAGCTAATCTTTTAGGTTCTAAGTTCTCTTCCATATCTGGCATCTGGTGAGCCTATAATGCTCTTGAAAGATTCAAGAATTCAGACGCTTTTCTGCCTGATAAGGACACCAGCTGCACTACTGAACTCACCTTGGGATTGATCTTGATTGTGGCAATGTCAGACTTCTTGTCAATGTCTTTGATTGTTGCCTCATAGGTGTCTCCACTCTGCAGCTGAACCTTCAGCTGCTGTCGTCCCGAAATGGCATTGGTGCTTGACACTACGTGGGCATTGGTCACAATTAAGCCAGATTCCGAAATGATGAATCCAGATCCACTGGACAAGGGCACATTTCGACCGAAGAGAGGATGCCTGCGGCAAAGTAAGCCAAAACAGGGACCGTTTCAGGTGCTGTAGTAGTGGCTGGGAAGCAATACCTAAAATTCATCAGCACACGGCATGTAGGGTGACCATCATAGATGGTCAGCGCCGGATGGAACCTTAGAATGTAGAACATGGAAAGTCAGAGATGGATGGAACCTTAGAACACAGAACATGGCATGCTCGATCCAGAAGAGGCCCTAGAACATAGTGATATCAGAGCTAGGAGGGCCCAGTTATTATCTTGTTGAATATCATCATTCTACAGTTGAGGAAGCTGAGGCCCAGAGAAGGTAAGTGACTTGCCTAAAGTCGCATAGGTATTGAATACCAAAATTTGAACCCAGCTCTTTGGATTCTAATTCTAGTGCTCTTTCCTTTACACCATAAAAGCAAGTCATCAAGAAGCATTTATTAAACACCTACTGTGTGCCAAGCTCTGTGCTAAGTGCTGAGGATGCAAAGAAAGGCAAAAGACAGCTAGCCTCTGCCCTCGAGGAGCCCACACCCTCACGGAGGAGACACCATGCAATCTATGAATAAACTAGATCTATACAGAAAAAACTGGCAATCATCTCAAAGGGAAGGCACTAGCATTGAGTCATCATGAGCAATCGTTTTACCTGCTGAATAACTCAGACAGTCTATTTCAATACAGTGAATGGTTTTAAGGACTACGTTTCTTTAGGCTGTTGAGGAAAAGACCAAAGGGGATTTGGGGAGCATGATTGGTTTCTTTAGGTATTTAAAGGAGGACTGTCTCCCACTCCTCATGACCCCATGTGGGGTTTTCTTGGCAAAGACACTGGAGGGGTTTGCCATTTCTTTCTCCAGCTCATTTTACAGATGAGGAAACTGAGGCAAATAGGGTTCAGTGATTTGCCCAGGGTCACAGAGCTATTAAATGTCTGAGTCTGGATTTGAACTCATGAAGATGAGTCTTCCTGATTCCAAACCCTGTGTTCCAGCCACTGTGCCACCTAGCTTCCCAGGGGTAGAAGTGATAGGGAAACCAATTTGGGCTCAGTATAAAGAAGCCATTCCAACAACCATATGGGCTAGCTTAAGAGATAGCAGGTTTTCTAGAGAGCAGATTCCTCCACCAGGCCTACAGGCTGGACTAGGGGATGCCTGGGGTTCTTTGCCACTGGAGGACCCTATAATTCCAGCATCGCCTATTCACAAGAGCAAGTAATTGGATTTCAGAGTTTGAAGTGGTACTTAAATAAAAGGGTAATTAAACTAAATGGGGCTTGGTCCTGGGATGATTAAGGAATAAGTTGTTTACTTTCTTGATGTAAATCAACTCCTTAGTGCCAAGATCATACTCTTTACACCAAATGGAGCAGCCATATATGAAGTTAAATGCTCAAGTCTGGAAAGATTCCTTCTAAGCAACGGGATGTAACAGAGGAGACCTGGGTGTTCATGCTAGATCACAATTGAACTCAGATAAGTCTCTTCATCTCTCAGTTTCCCCCTCTATTAAAAAAGGGGGTTGCCAAAGACATTCAATTACCTCTGAGACCTTGGGCAGATTACTTAACTTTCCTGGGCCTTAGTTTCCTTATCTGTAAAATTAAAGTGTTGAACAAGGTGGCCTCTGAGGTCTGTGCTCCTATGACCCCTGCTAGCTGACATGCTCTGAATTAGCTTCTTATGTTTAATATTATTTGTTTTATGTTCCCTTCTGACTTTAATAGTCTATGAGTCAATACCAACCCTTTTACAGAGATTCATTTTATTAGCTGACTAAGCCAATCTTTTGCTCTGTCTGCAGCCTGTCAGCTCAGTGGCTTATCTGCCTTGTTAGAGCACCTGCAAATTTCTGCTGATTATATTTGTTTTGTCTCACCTTTCAGACAGCAGACTCCTATAGGGTGGGGACTATATTTGTCTGTCAGTATATACCTCAGGCACCTATGGCAAGTTCCATGCACTCTGTGGAAATTCAATGAATGTTTGTGGACTGACCATTATATTTTGTTTACTAGATCATTTTGATCAGCATGGCCCAGTCAAAAGGGCAATATCAGGTCATTTTATCAGTGTAGCCCAGTCAAAAGGGCAGTGTCTGAGAATAAGGAGACAGTGTCCAGTCTAGGTTACATCATTGACTGAGTAACCCTGGGCATGCACTCAGAGTGCCTCAGTTTCTTTGCTTGTAAAATGAGCTAATAATAATTGTCCTCACAGGACTTTTTAAGGTCAAAATAACGTAATACATATAAAATTATTTCCAAAATGTAAAAGTTAAATGAATCATACTAACACCAGGTATTATTATTGGGCAGCTAAGTGGTACAATGGATAGAGAGGAAGATGTCTGGTCTTGGACACTTTCTAGCTGTGTGACCCTGGGCAAGTCACTTAACCCTGTTTGTCTCAGTTTCCTCATCTATAATATGAGCTGAAGAAGGAAATGGCAAACCACTCCAGTATCTTTGCCAAGAAAACCCCAGATATGATCACAAAGGATTGGACATGACTGAAAACAACTGAACGACAAATTGTTATTATTATTTTTTCTGTTATATAGCTTCTTATAATAATATTATAACATCATCATCATCATCATCATCATTAGACATCTGTGTGGGATAGCAAGAAGAGCATTGGATCTGGAATCAGGAGTCCTGACTTCTAGTCTCGCTTTTTGCCAGTTATTAGCTGTGTGACCCTAGTATAAGTTATTTAAACTCTCTAAGCCTCAGTTCTACAACTCTAAAATTTTGTACCACTTACCTCACAGGGCTGTTGTGAGGAAAGTACTTTGCATAGCTTTGAGCGCATTTTTGTTGTTATTATCAATTTCATTGGTCTAGGGAATTCCCACTGAGGAAACTCCCTCTATTAATCTAGATTGGCAATTTTTTTGACAACTTGCAATCTTTTCCTGCCTTGTTCTTGAATGTTCCATTCTCTCTTACCTCCAGCTTTCTAAATCCCTTTTATGCATTGCCTTTCCCTGTTAGAATGTAAGCTCTTTGAAGGTAGAGACTGTTTTTCCTACTTGGCTGCAAAAGAAGTTGTTATTACATGACTTCCAAAGTCTTTGATTCTTTGGGCGCATGTCCTATCATCCCTACCAGGCTGCAATCTCTTTCAGAACAGATAAAACCAAGTAATTGAATTTCAGAGTTTGATGTGACCATTTAATAAAAGGGACTTTGTCTGTAATCAGGGTTCTTTAGGCAGTAATTAAACTAAATGGGGCTCAGTCCTGTGATGATTAAAGAATGAGTTGTTTACCTTCTTGACATAAATTAACTCTTTGGTGCCAAGAATAGTCCTTAGTCCCTGAGTCTTAATGGAGTGGCCATTTATCAAGCTCTACCCTCAGGTCTTGGAAGGGCTCTTCTAAGCAATGGGATGTAAGAGATCACTGGGTCTTTAGTGTCTTATTTTTCATTTTATCTTCACTAGAATTGATCACAGGGCCTCGTACACTGGAAGAACTTCACAACTTTGTTGACTTTGAAAAATGTTCTGCCTGTTTACTGAGCATAGAAATGGTGGCTGTTCCTTCCATCAGCCTATTAGTGGGTATTTGTTGATCAATGCTCTTCACCACTTGGCTTTACGCGACATTCCCAGAGTTGTTAACACGTTAATCCTTTTCACACACTCAAACTGGTCGTCTTGCCATTCCTGACATGTGTCTTTCATTTCACAGTCCCTGCCTTTGTCCAGGCTGCCCCTCAAGCAGGGAATATATTCCCTCCTCACCTCTTCCTCTTACATCCAATTCCTTTCTTTTTTTCTTTTGCTTTTTTTGGTGAGGCAATCGGGGTTAAGTGACTTGCCCAGGGTCACACAGCTAAGACGTAAGACGTGTCAAGTGTCTGAGGTCACATTTGAATTCAGGTCCTCCTGACTCCAAGGCCCGGAGCTCTATCCACTGTACCACCTAGCTGCCCCCATCCAATTCCTTTCAAAACTCAACTAAAGTGCCACTTTCTACATGCTGCCTTAGGTCCTGATACCTGTCCCCCAACTTCGACCTTGTATTTATCTTAAAAAATATTCTGTATTTACTTATATGTGCGCTGACTGACTTGTTTCCCCCCTCCCCCTAGCACATAGTAGGCATTTCATAAAGGTTTGCTGACTATCGCTATATATAAAATCCTGCGCTAGGCTATGTGGGGGCAGATAAAAGGCTAATTCTTGGCCTCAAGCAATTTATAGTCTCTGCAAGGGAATTTTTTGTTGAGTTGTTTTTTACTCGTGTCTGACTCTTCATGTCTCTATTTGGGGTTTTCTTGGCAAAGATACCGAAATGGTTTGCCATTTCCTTCTCCAACTAATTTTACAGAGGAGGAAACTGAGGCAAACAGGGTTAAATTATTTGCCTAGGGTCACACATCTAGTAAGTGTCTGAGGTTGGATTTGAACTCAGGTCTTCCTGACTCCCAGCCTAGTGCTCTATCCACTGCACCACCTAGCTGCCTCATGCAGGGGGGATAAGAACCATAAAATTGTATAGTTCTTCTGAAAGCACAGATCATTCTCCTGCTCAAAAACTTTCAATGACTCCCTATTCCCTCTAGGATAAAATTCAACTCCTCAGACTAACGTAAAAGACCCCTCACAATCTGGCTCTAATCTGTCTTTCTAGCCTTATTTCACATTATTCCTCTTAATGGGTTTTATTCCAGCCAAATTCCCTAATCTTGTCCTGTCTTCTCTTGCCCCTTCACATTCATGCATAAATGTTCTTACTCCTCAGAGGAAGAATACAAGTTCTAGAATCAAAGAACTTCGGTTCAAATCCTGCCTCTGACATTTATTACATGTGTAACTATGGGCAAACTTTTCTGGGCCTCAGTTTCCTCATCTGCAAAATAAGTGGCTTGGGCTAGATGACCTCGGAGGTCTCTTCCAGCTCTGAGACTATGATTCTATGAGTCCCATCTCTACCCATGAAATCCTCATCTTTCTTCAAGGCCTTAATTATGTCCACTATAAATTTTCCTTTGTCCTGTCCCTCCCTCTGCACCTCAACTAAATGGGATTTACCCTTCTTTGCACTTTCCTAGATCATTTTGTTTGGCTCTCTCCCCTGGGTCCCTCTGATATTCAACCTTTTAAGGTACTCATGTCCTAGCCATCTAAAGAACTATAAACTCATCATGTGACAAACTGTAAACTCCTCAAGGAAGGGCATAACTTTGCTCTTTTTTTTTTAGAATTTTCTTTGTATCTCTCAAGCTTAGCATAGAGCCTGGTACATCTCAGTGCTTAATAAATGTTTGTTGAAATTAACTGACTGAAATTAGAGATCACTTGAGCTGGAAGGCCCTGGAAAGTGGTTAGAAGTTGGATTGGCAGGGAGGGAACCAGAGAGAGCATCTGAGTAGGAGAGAACAGCATGAGCAAAGATTTGGAGGTCAGAAGGAGCAGGATATGGGGACTGGAAGTGAAAAGGAGAGAAAGGATGGGGAGGGACATGGAGAAAACCATCCAGACTGGGATAGAGGGCTTAGGTTTTATTCCCATCAAAGGAATCATTGACAAAGGAAACACAGAAAGCTGAGGGGAGGACAGAAAGCTGTGGGCAGGAATTGGGGATAGGCAAACATAAGAGAGAATTACCTACCTCAGAAAAAGTTCAATGTGAACCACGGCTGGGGCAATCTTTTCCACCACATCCGCAATGAAGTTAAACTTGTACCTCGGGCTGGTGAACTGTTGGTGACCTATACTAGCAGAAAGAATTGGGTATGTTAATAAGAAGATGCAGCTTTCATGATCTACCTAGAAAAAAAATAGATGTGGGAGAGCTGAGCTCTCAGTGGTTTTGATTTAATCAGTTTTATGACTATAATGACAAAGGCCTTTCTTTTGTGACTTCTACTTACGCAAAACAGATGGGAAAATTGCTAGACAGATAAGTCAGAGAGGGCAGTGATTATTCACTCTCCAAATGACCTCTTAGTTTGAAAAGAGGAGTCAGGAACATTCCTGACCATTCTGGACTCCACTGGTAGGTTTAAAATCGATGAGTTAATATTTTAAAAAAGATTTACAACAGATTTTCTGGAATACATGGACTTGAATTCCAATTCTAGCTCAGTTACTACCTGTATGACCATGGGCATGTTACTCTCTTTGGGACTCAGTTTCCACTGCCTCTTTCCAGCTCTAAATTCCATGACACTATGACATCTATTATGTAATAATAAATTATAATAGCTAGCATTTATACAGCACTTTTAAGGTTTATAAAGTGCTTTCCATATGTTATCACATTTGATCCTCATCCCTTTGAGGTATTGTTATTTATTATTATTATTATTATTATTATCATTATCATCCTCCCAATTTTTACAGAGGAAGGAAACTGAGGCAGTTGGAGGTTATGACTTGCCTATGGTTACACAGCTGGTAAGTGTCTGAGGCAGGATTTGAATTCAAGTCTTTCTGACTCCAAGTCAACACTTTAAGCATTGCACTGCTTAGCTGCCTTAAAGAGAGGTTTACTTACATTAGATGGCTACAAGCATCTGGCAGATAGAGTGCTGGACTTGAGATCAGGATGGCCTGTGTTCTAATCCTTGCACATATTCACTGTTCTGAGACTAAGTATTTCCATCTTTAAAATAGTGGTAGAGGCAACAGAGGTGGCTCAGTGGATGAAGCACTAGGCCTGGATTCAGGAAGACCTGAGTACAAATCTGGCTTCAGAAACTTACTTAGCTGTGTGACCCTAGGCAAGTCACTTAACCTCTGTCTCCCTCACGTTTCCTTGTCTGTAAAATGGGGTTAATAGTAGCACCTACATTCTAAGGATGCTATAAGGATAATAGGAGTCAATCTTTGTAAAGTGCTTTGCAAATCTTAAAGCTCTAGTAAATGCTAGCTATTATTATCTACCGCTCAAAGAAGTTGTAAGGAAAGAATATTGTAAAGCTGAATGGATTTTAGACATGGGAACTATGATGATGTTTCTGGCCTTCTGACCTGTCGCCCTCACTTTAAAATCTAGATTCATTCGTGATTAAAACAAAGAATAGTATGGCCCCAAACACCTAGAAGTGGAAAAAAAAAGAAAGGAAAAAACCTCATCCTCATCATCAAGGCCTCCTTTCCAAGCCCATGAAATTACCCTTCCAATATTCAACAAATACCTAGCAAGCCCTTTCCAGGAGGCAGCTTGGTAGCATAAAAAAGAACACTGTCTCTGGAGTACAAAGCCTACTTCAGATGCTGTCTACCCGTGTTAGTTTGGATTCTTCATTTAACCACCCTGAGCCTCCATTTCTAAAAGGAGGGCACTGGACTAGTCAATCAGTAAACATCCTATGGCATACTATGTGCCAGGGAGTGTGCTAAGTGCTGGAGATATAAAAAGAAGCAAAAGATAGTCCCTGCCCTCAAGGAGCTTACAATCTAAAGGGGGTGACAGTATGCAAACAACCGTGTACAAATAAGTCATATATGGGACAAATAGGAAACAATCAACAGATGGGAGTCACTGGACTTGAGAAGGGCTACTAAAGGCTTGCTGGTAGAAGGTGAGATTTTAGTTGGGACTTACAGGAAGCTGGGGAGGTCAGTACTCAGAGTGGAGGAGGGAGAGCTTTCCAGACATGAATGACAGCTGGAGAGAATGCCTAGAGCAAAGAGATGGAGCATCTTGTTCATGGAACAGCCAGCAGGCCAGTGCCACCGGATTGAAGAGTACATGTCAGGGAGTAAGGTGTAAGAAGACTGGAAAGGTAGGAGGGGATGGGTTATGAAGGGATTTGAATGCTCAGCTGAGGATTTTGCATTTACTCCTAAAGTCAACAGGTAGTTTATTATCAGGGTGGTAATATGATCAGATCTTCTCTTTAGGAATATCACTTAAGTGATGGAATGGAGAATGGATTGGAGCAGGGAGAGACTTGATGTGAACTCACCAGCTTGCTATTGCAATAATCCAGGTGTTAAGTGAAGAGGGCCTGCACCAGAGGGTTGGCAGCGTTAGAGGAGAGGATGTGTATTCAAGAGATGTTGTAAAGGTGAAACCAGCAGGCCTTGGCAACAGATTGGAAATGGGGGGTGGGAGACAGTGAGGAGCTGAGGATGACTGAGGGACTGGGTGGAGGATGTCACTGTCTACAGTAATGGGGAAGGTAGGAATGGAGGAGAGTCGGGGGGGTGTGGAGACATAATGAGTTCTGTTTTGGACATATTGAATTTAAAATGTCCACTGGGCATCCAATTCCAGATGTCTGAAAGAGTTGGAATTGCAAGTTTGGAGGTCAGCAGAGAAATTGGAGCAGGAAAGGTAGACTGAAAATCATCAGCACAGAGATGGTAATTCAATCCATGGAAGCTGATGAGATCACCAAGACCTCAGTGGATAGATTTCACGAGGTCCATAAACTTGGAAGGGAGGAAAATTATATCTTTATTTTCACTGACCTCTAACTGGAACTCTGCAATTCCTTTAATTATGGAAGGGCATTATTATGATGAGTATACACAGGCCTGACTAGACTGTCGCAGGGGTTTATGACAGAAATAAAAGTCTAAAAAGAATCTTGCCTAGATGGTCTCTGAGGTACCATCCACCTCTAAATCTATGATTCTACGATCCTACAAAATACAAAGTACAGTGCTAGGCCTTAGAAGAGAGAAAAAGTCCAAGATGCAGGTTTCTGTTTTCAAGGACAAGGTATTCCTAGTATCCAAGTCTAGTACAGAGAAGAAAAAATAAATACAATAAACAACATTGCATGGTAAGTATATCATTGACTACAGAGAAGGGTCAGAGGGGATAAATAAGTAGGCTAATTAAATAAGTGGTGTAGATTTCCAATTACACCTGGATGCTGGCGAGGCTTTACTCGTGAAAGCATGTTTTCAACTGAGGAATGTTTACCTTGCATTTAGTTAGCTGGAGGCAGTGGAAAGAATGTTGGACTTGGGGATAAGAGACCTGAGTTTGAATTCTGACCCTGCCACTTACTAGCCATGCAACTCAGCCTCATTTTCCTCATCTGCAAAATGGGAATAATATCTGTACTACCTGCCATCAGCAATGGTCCTGAAGATGGTACTTTGTAAATCTTAAGGTATAAGATGTAAACATGAGTTATAATGATTAGTGAGAAGCATTTAATTTTGCCTTGGCCCAGGTTTGCCAGGCAGTTCATGAACTTTGATGAAACTTTTTTGATGGATTGAATTTCGCTCACTGTTAGCAAACAAGCCAAAGACATTTAAGAAATGACTGGCTTTTCTTTTCTTTCTTCAATTTACGGTGTGTGCCAAGGTCTCCCACTTAGTTGTGAAGGTATTGACTTAATTTGGAACAAACAAGGCTCAGTATTTGCCTTGAAAGGCTTCAATTTAAAAAATACTCATATACTCCCCCCTCCAAAAGAAAAAAAAATTAAAGAAAAAACATTGGAATTCAATCCGCCAGCAAACTCCTGACATGAAAGATGAAGCTCAGTGCTCAAAATTAGCCTTGCTGTCCAGCTGTGATGGCAGGCAACCACAGAGTTGGATAAGACCTCAAAAGTAGTTTAATTTAACTCCTTAGACCTGGGTTCTGCTCTTAGCTGTACCGTTTATTACCTTCGTTAGCTTGGGCATTCAACTTAACCACTCTGGCTCTCAGTTTCTTCAGCTGTAAAATGGGGAGAGAGGGCTAGATAATCACAAATTTAGCAATTATTTCATCCAATCTCCCCTATTTCAGCTCTAAATCATTTGAATCTATATACAGAAAAGAATCTCCCACAAGAAATTTATCCAGCCTCCATTTGAACATGTCCAGTGATGGTGACCTCACTACCTCACAAGAAATCCATAGGTGAGAAGTTCTTTCTCTTAAGCCATAGTCTGCCTCCTGTGGCTTATACTTTTGCCCCTAACTCTGCCATCTGAGGCTAAGCAGAACAAATTTAATCTCATTTTCCCTTTAGATGGTGACTAAGTCCTTCTGAAATCATCTTGTCTCCAGTTTAAGCATCCATAGGTCCCTCTACTGTTCTCTAATCCTCTCTCTATCCTGGCTGTTAATGTCCCTCCTAAAGTGTTATACCCAGAAAGATACTACTGCAGAAAAGATCTGATAAGGGCAGAGAACAGTAGACCTACCATGTCCCTTGTGATACAAATTGATATTCTGGAGAAAGGAACCATCTCTCTAAAGCCCCAGGATTCTACCCAAGAACCTTCCTCCTAAACAGGACAGTGATTAATTATTAACATTCATATGGGCCTTTGAATTTTTGAAAGCACTTTAGATACATTATCTTGTTTGGGACTCACAACAGCTCTAAAGTGTAGGTACCACAGAGTCTCAGAGAGGTTAAGAAGTGTCTCGCCCATGATCACACAGCCCATAAGTCTTACAGGCAGAATGTGAAACGGTCTTCCAGACTCCAGGACCACTCCATCCTCTACAATACTCCTGGGGATGTCAGTGGATGTCAGAAAGTTCAGAGAAAAAATAATGGCCTGAAATTCTACAGAGGACTCCAGCCCAGGAGATAATGGAAGGCTCTTATTAAGGACAAACTTCAGGTAGCACACACTCAAGGGGGATTTGAAATGTTCCTGATGAACTCATTTTATTTGTTGCTGGTACCCCACAAGAAAAGAGGTTGTTTTGGGTCCCAGGCAAAGGCCTCTGTTCGCCACTGGTCTCAGGGTCAATGACAGGATAGAGAAGGAAGGAGGATGGATGGAGCAGAAT